CAAACAAGATAGCTGTTATTAGAGTCCCTTTATACTGAGAGTCAAGACAATTTGAATCCATTTCTGATTGGTTCCCGTATTTTAGGCCTCCACAGTGTCACGAACGGGAATAAAGATTACATTTTCACCAATTGCAAAGATTATAATCTGGAATGGACCGGGGAATTACGGGTTCGGCAAGGAACAAACGGAATGAGAGGAGGAACGGAGAAAGGCATTTGAGAATGGGCCGATCAAAGATTACGAAAAACGTTCAATTTCTGTAATCTTTATTCCCGTTTGTGACATCCATGAGCCGAATTGTCTTGACTCTCAGTATAAAGGGACTCTAGCTGTTATCAGCAAGCAAGATTGAGGTTATGCACATCTTACATCCTCCTGTGATGAAGGTGAAAGGCGATTTAACAATGTTTCCATGTGTTTTTCGTGTGTTATTCGTAGACATGCTAGTTTAAATTTTTACTGCCGCATTATTGAAATTTTTGTCAAATTTAGCTTCTTATCGATGTTACTGTGAGCCGCGATTTTGTTTGTTTAAGAGCATCATGAAGCCTAAAAACTCGTTGACCAATCAAAAAGCGGAACAGTTTTCCTGTAGTAAGAAGATACGAATGGCCATACACTGTCTATAAAGGTACTCTAATGGAAGCTGTAGATTGGTGGTGGCCTACGAAAAAACGTGACACACATGGAGCGGTCCACTGAAAAAAATTGGTATGCTGTTTTAGCACCTAGGATGTCAAAAATGTGTTTAGTGATCCTAAGATGCTGCCTTGATTGCTAACGCACTTGACTTTGCATTCACAGGATGTAAAGTTAACTGCGGGGACAATAAAGAAATCATGAAATCATGAAATCACCAGACACATTTTTGACGCCGTATGTGCTAAAACAGCATATTATTTTTTTTAGTGTCGTTTGATAGGCGGCCGGAGAGTGGAAATGACCAATTTCTATCTTCGTCATAATCTCAAATACATGGGATCGTACGGAAGGATTTAAAATAAATGATTTAGCGTTGAAATTTTCATCGTGAGCTCACTTGATGAATGGCTAATTTCCATATTTGAACACAGATTTTCAAACGGTTGGTTTTAAAGAGCCTCCCAAATTAAGGGCTGACTTTCGCCCCTTTTTCGGCATTTTATTCGACTATCGAACCAAGGTTTAAGTGGAAGCCTATAACAACAGATAACTCAGTTGTCAGGTGGGCGGCCCCCGGCTTTGGCTCCTTAGGGGCCAGGTGGGTGGCCCCCGGCTTTAGCTCCTTAGGGGCCAGGTGGGCGGCCCCCGGCTTTAGCCCCTTAGGGCCCAGGTGGGCTGCCCCCGGCTTTTGCTCCATAGTTGCCGTGTGTGCCTTAGTGATATGCTGTAATTCGTACCCCGTTGCCTGAAGTCAATGATTCTCCTTCAAATGGCCGGGTATGCAAAATGACTGCCTTGACGCACGAATAGTGGTATCAGAATTTGGCAGTAAGTTTACGGACTGATTTGAAGGCGCTCTTCTGTATTCATTGTGAGTGGCCTTGTACAACGATGTTGACAAAAAAGTTCATAAGTATGGGTTTTAAATCAAGCCGCATATTCGAAAAATGCCGAGGAACATTATTTTGAAAACATGATAAGATTGTTTTTGGTCTCTACGACTTATTTCCATGTGGAGAGCACAGGCGGCCGGATCAGATAGTGTATTTTATGCCCCTTGGTTCGGTCATTGTATTTTGAAGCGAGACTGAAAGAGTCGACGTTTACAAGATTGCAACTTTCTCAAAAACGGTTGTGAATTTAAAAGGTTTTGCACGGATAGAAGAACGTATTAATTTAATTTAACGTATTTTCTTTTTTTAAAAATTCTGCACGAGCGAAACAATGTTTCTGAATGCATCTATGCAAGCCCAAGGTTGTATTCTATTAGATAAAAATGACGGAACTCACTCCAATGTTGCTACGATAAATTTGGTTAAAAAACGTGTTTTTTTCGGCAACCCTGGGCTGCGTAGGTCGGCTCTAGCAACGCATTGTCGGCGTAGGATTTGGGTTGATAAGAGTGGTCGTATGACAATGAAAAAAACAAGCAGTGAACTCCAACACAATGTGTTGATAAGGCGCGTCATTAACTCGCATATATCAACCCCTTTGGTTTTCATTTACAGAGAATTCAAAATAGGCAAGTAGCGCAACAAGAGAATTCATACGATCCAACACTTCAACGACGCACTTTGACGAGACTGTGTATTGTGAATGTAGAAAGCTATTCGAACGAATTTGAGTTTTTTGATCTGCCTCAAGCAAAATCTTATCAGATTCTTGAAGAAAAGTGCTGCGGAATAATTTAAGCGGAGAAAGGAAAAATTCTGTCGAACTCTTAGAAGATAAAGTCGATTTAAAAGGTATTTTGGGGCTAAAATACCCAAATCACCGGTAGTAAAAATCCCGTTATATTATTGAAAAGAAATTGACTCGATATGAATAAAATTGCTTTAAATATGTCTTGATTTTGTTACTTTAAACGTCTTTCCATGGAAAGAAGTTCAACCATGTCTATGCTTTATTCATTCATGAATTGAAAGTAAGAAATCTACATCCCGAAAATCTACCGATATGCCGTAAAATATCGTAGAAACTTAATATACCAGGTCGATGCACCCACTCGTTGAATTTACGAATCAATTTCGTGAGTGCACATATGTAAAAGTCAAAATGCTATAGTCATTTTGGGTGCCTTTATTTTTCAAGAAACAATTAGGTACACGTAATTTCAATCCCGAAGAACCATCAATTTTCCGTATAAAATCGATAAAATCAAAATATGTCCACTCCCTGACGTGAAAATAAGATTCTACGTGTGAAAATGCTTATGCATCGATATGCTGAACAGAATCCATGTCTATCTCAAAATTTTTCTCAGAGGTTTGTGTTATTATCAGCTTCCCTTTAAACCCCGGTTCGATGGCCGAATCGGCTGCCCAAAAAGCAAGCCATTTTTGAAGGGTTCTATGAGAAATTCGTGATACCTATTATAGGCTCTAAGGAAATCACCTCATGGCTAAAACTGGTGGTATACATGTTTGAGTGCTAGAATAATCGTATTTAAGGAAATAAGGCATTAAACTATGGAGTCAATTTCTTTTTAATAAATATAACGGGATTTACTACCGGTGATTTAGCTATTATAGCCCCAGAATACTTTTAAAGCGCCTTTACGTTCCCGAATCTCGACGGATTTTTTTTTTTTGGCTTAAACGACTCAAGAGACACTGTAGTTAAAAATATAAAGAATTTTCGATTTGGACATATAAAAAATGTCTAACTCGTTGAGGCATACTGTGTATTGAATGGAGTGCTGCTGTTATTCGACCCTTGTCTTCAGGTCAAAATTCTTACAAGGAAGCCCCTTGCGAGAGGCGAATTTTTTGTAATTACTCCCAATTTTATTCCGTTATATATTATATAATGGAATTGCTTGTCAAATTCTGAGGTCAATTATATTTAATTGTAATTTATACATTTCTCTTTTTCCCTACATTTTATTTTTCGTCTGGCGAAGTTTCGTTGATTTCTTCGGATTTCGAATACTGTAACTTCTCTTCTATTCGGCCGATTTTTATGAATGAGACCTCTTTTACTTCGTGTTTGAACGGAGAGTAAGAAAAAAATTGCTAAGTACACGCGAAACAATTTTTTTTTAAAATTGGACGAATCCTAGCGTGACGGTGAACTGGTTAATCGAGCGTAAGTAATTAGGGTCCCGGCCGCCGCGCCGCCTCGCCGTGAGCCGAGCCGGTTCGGTTATTGTTTTCGAGAACCCGACGCTGGGGTCAGGCGCGAGGGGAAGAGAAGGGTAGGTAGATTTCCATATGTGCGCATTTAGCTTCCTGTATGAGCCACGTTTAGCAAATGGTCTAAAGAGTCTCGAAGCTCATCACAGATTGCACTTACGACTATCACTTACGGCCGTGGCGATCAGAGCAAAAGGTACCAACTTTTGAAAATTATAACAGGGGTTTGGAGATCTGTCAAAGCAACGTTTTGAACAAAACGGAGCAGTGCAATTCTCATTCAAGGAGTGCCGAACTGGTCAGCCATCCTCGAATCAGTTCGCTTGCTTCCGCTTATATATGCATATTTTAAATCAGCGCGCCCCATTCTAAGGTTTTTTTTAAAAAAACCAAGTAACGTAGACTCTTGGTATTCACTGCACATAAACTGATGAGCCCCAGAATGAGAAACAACTTTAAATCATAATTATTGACGGATAAATAAACTTTTTACACGCTTTGGAAAATCTCAGAAGTTCGCGGTAGTCACTTTTCGGTAAGGAACTAAGGGACTCGGTTATTGTATCGAGTGGGGGGTCGAAACGATCGCAAAGGCGGTATACTACGTATACGCGCCAATATATGCATATGCAGCACACGTCATACTTCTTTTAGGTGAAAACAGGAAATATTAGATGTAAAATGGGTTTTTAATCAATTGATTTAAAACCGAATAACATATATGTGATCTCATGCAACTAACTCTGGCGGCGAAAATGACAAGTTACATATATGTCATTCCATGCAACCGATTGTGGCCAATAAAAATGAACATACGGCTAATATTCACCTATAATTTGATTTATGCTGGCAAAAACAGTGTTCTCCTAATATCTAATCTGTGGTAAGACCAATATTTTCTCTTTTTTCCAATGAAATGTACTTACGCATGTTTTTCATGTTTTTCATTATTTTTAGGGTTTTTACCAAAGTTGCATAGAATCACATATATGTAATTTCTCTTTTTCATTTTTTTTATCAAAGTTGCATGGACCTGCATATATACGTAAGTACCATTTTGGGGGACCGTTTGGGGGGAAAGAGCCCCCTCCCGATCAAAAAAAAAATTGGGTCTCTATTTTTTTCAAAGATCTTTCAGGAAAAATGTTTTATTTCAAAATCCGTGATCCAAAATTCATTCATGCAATAGAGGGTTAAATTCGTACCTTGTCTAGTGGTCCATTCACTACAAATGAAACAAAATCCTAAGATGCCCAAGTCGCTCTATGCATACTGTTGGTCAAACTATCCAAGGGATCCTCCTTGTAAGGAATGACGTGAACGTATGGATAATTAGGAGGCTGGTAGTACATTGCATGGTCGCCGTGGTTTTTCCATGTGCTTGGGTGTCCAGGACTCGGTGGCGACGGTGGTCCTCGTGGACCCGAAACAGGCCCGGGAGTGGTAACAACTGTTGGGATTGGGCTTTTTGGGCTCTCCGGAGGGGGACTTGAGTTTGGTCGGCGACCTCCACGCTTTCTCTTGGAGTTGGAGTTGGATGCGGATGGACGCAATTTTCTTCCTTTATAGTTACCTGCGTTGTTATTCCTCCTTTTGAATGAGGGCAAGCATAAAAATCTCTCTTGCAAATGTATCTCAGGCGTAGGATTGGTTGAGGAGTAAATCTGTCCCGTTTCTTTGTCCAGATTGGTAGGTTGCAAAACGACAGCGGTGGGATAGAATTCGGGACTCTGAAAGATCGATCCAGCCGTTCAATGGCGGTGAAAAAAATATGAGTGTGTTTCAGGCACATTTAGTCAAATTAGACATTTGGTTAAACGCCTAGGCTAATAGTCAAATGGAATACGTTTTGCAATTTGGAACTGTAAATTCCAGCCCGGTTCAAGAACAACGTATGTGCCATTAGTTTCCCTATGAATATATGTGTTTTTTTCAGATGAATCAGAATTTATAGTTCCAAATTGCAAACTGCAGTCCAAATATTCTTGCTTGGATTAAAATATGTTAATTTAGATAAAAAAGTTGTCTGCGTTTGTAGGCATGTATTCACTGTAAAGGGCACCCAGCAGTAGTATCATAATGAATGGTTTCTAGCCCTTGAACGAAACTTGAGCCCAAAAGTCTCATCGAATCATTGATCCTGTAGGTTGGATGGAATTATTACTTTCAAAACATTAACAATGTGAGGGCTCCCCGAAAAAATCGTTAGAAACTCCATTGATTGGACTGAATTTTGCAATTAGGAACTATAAATTCTAGCTCGGTTTAAAAACAACGTATGTGCCATTAGTTTCCCTATACACACAAGTCTTTTTTCAGATAAGCCAAAATTTATAGTTCCAAATTGCAAAATGCAGTCCAATTGCCAAATGACAGTGTAATTGGACAAGAGCTTATAAAGAATTGTGTCAGAGTACTCAAATTTAATTCTTCGTCTTTTGGCAAGCTGAAATTCGATTGATAAATAATCAAACATTACCGGCAAATGATGCTCAACAAGGAGAAGATACAATGAGTCACTTTACCTGTAACTGAACTGGACTTAGAGTTTCCGGATTCTCATAGTTTTGCTTCGTGGGAGCAGCATTGTCGTATGATGACAAACTAAACTGAAATAGTTCGAGCGGTTAAGAATGAGTACGAGGGAGTGTCAGAGGTTACCATGATTTGACTACACTGGTACATTTTCACAACACTCACGTACGATTTCAATATATACTTCCATTTCAATTTCAATAAAAAGTCGCAGTACTTGAAACTTTGTTCGTGGGGAAATAATTTACTAATATCTTATGACTGTAAGCAGTTTTATATTCAGGAATGTATCCATGATTAATTGTCAAGATCCCATGGTTGGAGTAATACGTATTCTACAAGTGAGGTATTGTTAGTTAAAGGTACTACAAGTTACTTCAAAGTATATAAATCACCAGGCACAGCTTTAGAAGCAGACTAGGAAAAGTGTTGGAGCAAAAATAAATAAATCAGCAAGTATTTATAACGAGCCATCAAAACTTTTTACTGAAATTAATCAATTTATAATTTTTTGAAATCCTACATATGTGAATTTGTTAATCTAAATTTGTAAACGACGATGTATTATTGTATGCGTCAAGTCGATGGCTGAGGTACGGAGGGGTTTCGCAAATTCGCTTTTCATATTTTATTTTTTAAAAGAAAGCTGATCGACAGATTTTCTTGAAGTTTTCAAGAAATTTTTTTCACTCATTTAAAAATATCCGTAAAAAATTTCAAGGAGGCGCATGATTAGTATCCTTTTATAACAATTCAACATCATCGGAAATGTCTAAACGCTGTGAAGAAGGTCAGGCAGACTTCTGTAGATGCTCAGTTTAAAATACTTGACTTCGGTTAGGGCGGTAAATATAATAGATTTTGGCAGTTTGAATTTTGCTCTCCTTTCTTTTTTTTATTTCTACGTGTAAGAAGTGTGAAAGTATTCCTTCAATATTGATGAAACTCACGAATCTTACCAAAACGAGGTAGAAGAGAAGGTATCCACACATGTTCAGGGCACGCACTGAAACATTTTGTCGCCCAACATCGATATTGATGATCCGATTTTTTGCTGCGAGCAATATCACTTAAGTGCAAACCATTAACTTGCGACGGGTTCAAGCAGGAAATGCGTGATTTAAGCCATATCCAGTTCGCCGCCAAAAAATTATCTCCGACGCAATCCTGCGGTGCTACGGCAAAACGACTTATGAACGTTCAAAGGTTAACAAATTCCATGCGATAAATTGTTCATTTTTTTTTTTAAAAAAAAAGTTATGAATTGCTCTTGGAAGTTTCAGAAGATTTAGATCTGATCGATATTAATATTTTCCGTAAAGTTTGAGAAAAAATATTTCCAAATTTCCCTGAAATTTCATTTTTTCCGACGAAAACTCGGCAACGGCTGAAGGCTCATGAGGCGTTCTTTCTTAGCACGGCAAAATGGGTGAAGCTCCTGCTCGGCAATCTCCATTTTTTTCACTGTTCTAAAAAATAATTTTCTGAATATGCAGCTGAAATTTTGCCGAGGAATAGTCCCGCTTAATGAATCTCGGTTCATCACACGACGAGGATACATCGTTTAAAAAAGAATCCGCAAATATGTTTCGTCAAAGTTGAAACGTGTCACTGCGCAAGTGATAAAAAAAATCACTCTTCGACACTAGAAAAAAAGAGAGACTATGATTAAAAGTCAAGGATACTGAATGGCCCGTCACGCCATACAGTCGCTGAAGTCTACACTGAGAGAGGAAGTTCACTCATGAAACCAGCAGCACGGAGGTGGACGATATAGATAGGAGTATCCGGTTCAGGTTACCATGATTTTCGGATCTAAAAACTAAATCTTCCGTTCTTGCAACAGAACTTTTCCCATAGTTCGGTGTGGTTTGAAAGTTCTATTGCGTGAACGAAAAATACGGTTCCCAGAACTGGAGGGCTCTTCCATATTTTTACGTAGCGCTCTAGAATGTGGATTGGTCTTGTGACCGAGCGTGACAAGAGATGGGGAGGAGTCAAGCTCATGTAGCGTCACGCATCAATATATTTACAGGATTTTACCCTCTTTTTTCCCCTTTTTAAGTTGCATCCGTCTCTGGAGACGAAAAGGCTTCTCATTTACAAAAATTTGCTCTCGCGTCCCTTTTTCAGCGAGAAAACTTATTTTGAGTTTCTTTTGTGTGTAGAAAGGGGAAGTGACGGGGCAAATGTTACGTATTTATTAGGGGGGGAGGGGGTCTGGACCAGCGCAACTATCGCTTTACGTGATTAGCGGACAGCCCTTAAACGATATGGTCGATATAGAACACCGTACGTTCTTCTAATATGACCGATTTTATTTCACAGTTTATAGTCATCATATATCCCGCCGATAAATTTTATAACCTTGAAAAATTTAAATGCAGGTGTGGACCGACCTTTTCATATCCAAAACCAGCAACATTTTTTCTTCGGTATTTAATATTTTTTATGATGACATAACAGTATAATGTCTTGTTGTTAATTTCTGAAACTGTATACTGTCGAGGTTTACTTTAAAGTTCATAAAGCTGTGTTTAAATGATGTATTTCAAAGGCCTCCCAAAATAACAATGTAATCGATTATAGAGGCAGATCTAGTAGGTTGGCAACATTGGCTTCCTTCCATTAAAATCCATGTTAAATAATCGATTCTTGTCGGAGCACGTACCTCACCGGAAATCGATTTATTTGCATAGGTTTAAATGGAAGGAAGCCAATGTTGCCAACTTCCCGGATCAGTGAAACCAATAATGAAGCTCCGGAGAAAAGGAGTTGATTGAGAAGTGACTATGAATAGTTTTTAACAATCACGAATATTCATTGCGTCAAAAATCCGATCCTAGATGTTCGCATGCGGACGGAATACTGGAGACAGAGAAAAGAACCCAAACAAAACAAAGGACTACAATCAAGACGACGGTGCGAGCATCGGTTTCGCAGCGGATTATGATTTATGAAAAAGAGGAAATTGAAAGAAAGCTGGATGAAAAAGCCAAATGGCGGTGGCGGGGTCATGCAACGTCGTGAGGGGGAGGGAGCGGGGGAGTCATTCACAGAAAGCCGGCGCAATAACTCAAAACGATTCGCTGATCCCCTGCCTTCGATCGAGCAATGTGTTTACGAACTGTCCTTCGATCTCTGCGACGCACAGTCTACCGTGATAGCGAAGAGAGCATTAAGTGTCTTTTCAAAATCGAGTTTCCTTCAAAATTCGTCTAATCTCCTTTAGATGAAACCATTGAAAAAGCTAAAACAGCAAAATTCATCCTACACTGAAAAAAAAAATTCGGTAAATCCGAACTAGTTACGATCATATGGAACCACGTTTTGTTCGGTTCACACAACCGAAGTATTCGGTCTGTTCAACCAAACTGTTCGGTTTGAGCGACCGAACCATTACAAATTCTGAACGTTTGGTTCAGCGGACCGAACAATTCGGTTGAACAGACCGAATAATTAGGTTGTGTGTACCGAACAAAACGAGGCTCCTTAGGATCCTAACTAGTTCGGATGTACCGTACTCTCTTTTTCAGTGTACTTGTATGAAAATGAGACATTATGAGAAAGCCGGAAATGCGGAAAAAATTACTTAGTCTTAGGCAAGGCAGCAGTAAGTGACATTATTCCTCCAGAGAGCCAATGAAAACAGAGCCTTCAAGTAAAGTGCCGCCCTCTTCTGCCAATTTCTAACCTGAAAATGTGTTTGTTATGTGTCCCAAACGCAACCACGAACGTATGCAGAAGATAGCACATACGGCTGTCTTGCCTAACACTAGGCTAATATAGAAATGAACAATACCCCTTTTATGTTATTGAAATAAAATCGGTCAATTTTTAATCATGCAAATGATTTCGAAGAGTCCTTCGGATGTTTAGGGGCAATGTGTCAAAAAACGGAGGCTTCTTACGATAAAATTTTCCAGTCACAGACTTTGAACGCGTTTGCTCAAAACTTTATGTTTGCACTTACTGCTCTCCTCGCTATCACGGCATTTGCTGCAAGACAATGAGAGGCAGTGCTCGAAACTCACCTGTGAGTTTTAGGAGCCATGTGGGGCATCAAGCCCGATTTTTAGGCGCCATTGAAGATTTTTTAGGGGCCAAATTGACTTTTTACCTATATATTATGGCGCATTTAGTGAGGCGCAGAGTTTTCATTTTTTAAGCGCATTTGGCGCGTTGGCGCCTGTGAGTTTCGAACACTGATGAGAGGGGTCGGTTATGATTTTGAAACTTTCAGAGGTTATACCTTCATTTATACAAAATTTAGCGATTTTAAATCGGTTCATTTGGTTTATCCGTTGAATTTTCTTTCCTTAAAAATTAAAAATGCGACCCAATACACGTTGAAATATTCAGATTCAGTCAAAAGTTCCATGTCCAAACTTTCCCAATGACTCAAACCACTTTGCGCGCGCCCCCGCTTTCCAAGAACTGGTAACACCCTCGCGAAGTACTCTTTCTTATCCGACTGACCGCGTCCTCCTCCGCCCCTTCGCGAATGGGATCCGCGATAATTTGGAGCCTTTTCAGCGCCACCCGAGGATCATTCATTTCGCCCGCGCGCCCTCTCTTGTTGCCTCTGAGAAGCTCAGAGAGAGCTTGGAGTGAACAGTAGTTGTCCTTCACAACCCAGGTTTCCTGACCGCACACAGAGAAAAATAAATCTCGGGTTTACGAATTAATGAGGTCAGAAAACGTTTTTCGATCCAGAAAGCTGAACTCTTCCAACCATATGGAAAAAAAATTGCCGAAGTAACATCCCGGATGTTAAAAATCTGTGCGACAACTCTTGAATGTTGATATGAACGCTACGGTTGTTAATTCAAAGGAGCTAGGATGTTACTTGAACAGTCAGAGTGTCCATCACAATATTCAAGAGTTGCCATGCAGATTTTGAATATCCGGAATGTTACTTCAGCAAATTGATTTTCCGTGCAGTCAAGCGCAGAGGCAATATATGTATTTTAAGGACCCAGTACTAACGATCGAAGCAATGATCGGGTAAAGTAAAAGTCAAGTTCAGAAGCTAAAGCTATTTTTTGCCTAACAATGATTGATCAGCAACGATGATAGAGATATATTCTTAAAGCGCGCTCTTTCAACACCCTGTGTTGGATTTACCTGCTTGTTTCTGCCTAAATTTAGTCAGTTTATTCTCTAATGAAATTCAGAAATTATGCTAGACGTTATTAAATATGGATCTGAGGACTTGGTGAATTCTCGAACTACCGTTCTCTTTTTGTGCCGTAGTATATTGATTTATTTTGCAAGGAAAGCTCCGCGTTCTCTTAAAGGCTGCCTGTAGTTCTAAATACGTTGGAGCGCCTTCAGTTTCGTATGATACTGTGCAACACCTCCGTGGCGGTATAGTTGCTTGAGGCGCCGTGGCAAGCGACCTCGCTGTGGCTCCTTCAAACCTAACTGGTATACTTCACGCATTGCGCAATGCGTGAAGTATCCCTGTTAGGTTTGTAGGCGCCAGTACGCGTTTTGGGATGGCAGCAGTCAGCATGCCGCTCCGCTCTGTGTTTGGTTTGATATTTGAAGTTGCTAAGTCAGCGTTTTTCAACTGATGAATATGAAATGTTTGCACAATCTGCATGGATTGTTCTCATTTAAATTGATGAAAAAACTTTTTGAGCAAAACAATGATAAAATTCGCCTAATGACTATTGTCGGGATGAGTAGTTCGCTGGGCCAGTTTTTGCAAATCATATTAATTGGGATTGATAACTAAATTACTCAAAAGGACCATTAGTCATCATTAGGCGAATCTGATCTTTGACCTCCGAAAGTGACTTTTACTACTCAGGAAAGATAAGCAGTGTGGGATCTATAAAATATTTTGCCCCCGGTTAAGTGCACAATCATCCCTTGTTGATATTTTATCTACGCGTAGGTCGCTCCGTGATATTCTGAATCCTAAGCATCATTTTCCATATACTCATCGGAGTTAGTGACCTAAAGCGGTTCATTGTGAACTGGACTACATTTTGCAATTTGGAACTAT